AAAAAGAACATACTCAGTGGCTAGGGAGTAAAAGAGAACCATGTGGTAGATGCAATTTAGAACACCAAAAGTAGATTGTATTAATTAACTGAGACAAGTTTGAGTTTTGGAAGTTTGTTTGAGGGAGAATGATGCTAGATTTGGCACAACATTGTATCAAGGGACGGATCCACAAATTAAGTTTAGCTAGGCACATCATATGGATAAGTTTTAAGGGAGGCCAAAAAAAAGAACATTTTGGCAATTGAACTCTACCTAATCATAAGGGTCACTCAGAAACTCTTATGTCATTTTAGGTAATTTTTCAGAACCATGCATCCATGTTTGCCTAGAGCTAAAAGCCTAAAACTATGTCTGAGAGAGAGAGAGAGAGAGAGAGAGAGAGAGAGCAGTTGTGGCCTCTTGACCAACTTATCACAACACTACACTGCCTAGACAACATTGTAATGGTTGCACAGCCAATTGGTTGATGAAAGAAGATTACTTAGGAATATAAGCACTATATAGAGAGGAGAGAAAACCTACATAGGTATGGTGAAGAACATATTCTTAAAACCACCAAGTCCCACTGAGAGTGCCTTTACCTTGTTTTGCACCTTAATTGACCATCTTTTGGTCACTGATCTATCTCCCTAGTAATAGCAGGTATACAACTCGAACTCCTAGCAATACAANATAGAGAGGAGAGAAAACCAACATAGGTATGGTGAAGAACATATTCTTAAAACCACCAAGTCCCACTGAGAGTGCCTTTACCTTGTTTTGCACCTTAATTGACCATCTTTTGGTCACTGATCTATCTCCCTAGTAATAGCAGGTATACAACTCGAACTCCTAGCAATACAACCCTTCCTTTGACCACCGTTATCTTTAGGGCTCAAAGACTTAGCCCTACCACCTTCCAACGTTGATCTCTTCCTCAAAATCTTTCTCATGGCTTCAGCTTGGTACAACACTGGATGTGTCCTACCAAACCTGTTAAAACTAGAACATGCACTCATGTGCTCACTCAATGCCTCTTCTCTCTTTCCTCCATTTTTCTCCATCTCTTCCTTCACTGCCTCGGAACACAGGCCACATATCAGCTTCCCTGAAAACTTTCCACGAACACGGGTTACGTACTCCGGTGTGCACTCTTCTGACAGACCACAGCACTCACACTTGGCGTCCTCGACCTCGGATATGGAAGGGAGCTTTATGTCTGAAGCTTCTTTGCTGAGTTCAAATGTGATGTCTGATATAGTTCTTTGGAGGCTTCCCATGGAGAGTCTAGGAGGCTTCGGGGCCGGATTGGTTTTAGGGTAAGAGGCAAGAAGCGTTTCTCTGTGTGGTGCCATTGGAGTGATTGAAAATGGTGCAAGAATTTAGCTAGAGAGGAAATAGAAGATGATATATCATGCATGTAGAGGTTGTGCCTCAGACTTCTAATATATATTGTGCTTCTATGATAATGATATCTACAAACCTGGGAGCAAATGTATGTGGACTATAGGATATGTCGTGTGTGTGTGTGTGTGAGTGAGTGAGAGAGAGAGAGAGAGAGATCTTGAATAACCTAGATTTTTCATGAAGACATATATGGGATATAAAGAAAGAGACATCTTGTCTTTCAGATTCTTAATTAATTTTGGGTTCTGTTTCTTTTGTTATAAACTAATACTGTGGCACATGAAATTTTTGAGATAAGAGCCTTCTCTTTTAAGGCTTTTTTAATTGTATGATTCCCTTTCCATGCATATAGCGTATGGCCTGAGTGTTGGTTATATGAATTTATATACCTCGATGTGCCTAATTAATCCTACGAAAAATGTATTAATATCTCATTTTGATTGTTGATGGTATTTATCGTATACTAATTATTTACTTCATCCTGTTATAGTAAGCGAGAGACTTATGATTCAGGTATCAATTAATATAATATTATGAAAAGCACCATTTACCAAACTTTAGGACGCAGCCTCAACCCCATCAAAATAACATAAGATTTTACTTTTAGAGAATTGATTTCCCTCAACAGGGGATTTTTCTGCTCACAGTGAAGTAGTATTCACGAGAGGGTCTTCTACAACCGTACATGTCCAGCACATAGTTAGGGTCTTCTCTTTTTGGTGGAAGAACATGATATCATGATAGCAAATGAGTGTTACGTACAGANGGTCACAGTGAAGTAGTATTCACGAGAGGGTCTTCTACAACCGTACATGTCCAGCACATAGTTAGGGTTTTCTCTTTTTGGTGGAAGAACATGATATCATGATAGCAAATGAGTGTTACGTACAGATGAGTTTGGCTGTAAACAATTGGATCATATACATCAAAAGACAACTAAATCACGAGAAACCAAACCAAAGCCAACCACAACATATGAGAGAGAGAGAGTTAAAGAAGGACCTTTTGAGTTTAAGTTCACAAGTATCTCGGATGATGGAAGCAAAAAGGTTTTAAGTTCACAGTTTATTTTAAGCAATAATTGAAAGTTTTTTTAAAATAAATTATTAAATTTTTTNAAGCAATAATTGAAAGTTTTTTTAAAATAAATTATTAAATTTTTTATTTGTTTCTATTCCATTTTTTGAAAAATTCTAAATATCTCGGTTTTCAAGGTGGCTGAACTTTTTCACCATTACGAAAATATTAGTAAAATCGTACTAAAATATTTCAAAAAATCTTAAAACATTATAAGTTCAATTAAATCACTAATTTATTTTGATCTTCTTCAAGATAGAAATATTTAGACCGTTTCGACTATTTTAAAGCGATATTTTCATTCTTGTTAAAAAGAGATCACTTTAAACTTTTTTTAGGGCTCTAAAAATTCAGGTTCAAGTAAAAAGGGCATAATCTGTTGGCCTTTTTAAGAGGTTGATTTGTTCAGTTCAATGTATAGAATCTCACCAAATTTTAGTTTCACTGTAGAGAATCTCAATTTCGTGTTTTGGTCATGCCCTTCAAGTGAGAAAATATTCGGTGCATGAAAGGTTTCACGCGGTGCTGCCTTCTTGTCTGGGATGGAACTAAGATTTTATATTAAAAGAGATCAACAATGATATACACAAAAATTTAATTTAATGGGTTGTTCAACTGTCATTATCAATGATAATTTTTTATTTATAAAGAACCTATTAAATTTAACTTTTATGGAATAGCATTGAAAAAATTATTTTTAAGCACAAAACTTAAAAGTGGTACATGTCATCATAAAAATTCATTTGTGATAATCTCTCTCTCTCTCTTTTTTTTTTTTTTTCTTGTTTATAATGTAACCTCATGTCTATAAATAAATAAAGGTCGCAAATAATAGTTTTATATGATACCATAATAAAAATGAATTATAAGTCAAGTAATTATTTTTTAACAAGTGTTTTTATCAGTTCAAACTACACTCATCCATGTGATTACATCTTAAATGGTTACTAAATATTAAGTTATTGATTTTTTTTTGAACNCCATAATAAAAATGAATTATAAGTCAAGTAATTATTTTTTAACAAGTGTTTTTATCAATTCAAACTACACTCATCCATGTGATTACATCTTAAATGGTTACTAAATATTAAGTTATTGATTTTTTTTTGAATACTCTAAGTAAGGTACTTATACATTGAGTATTTTAAAAAGTTAGGAGTTAACAATAAAACTTTTTAAAAATATAGGGGAATAATAGAAATTTTTAAAATTTGAAGAGGGGGGGATGGCCCTATTAGGCTTCCTTATAGTTCCGTCTCTGCTTCTCACNAAATATTAAGTTATTGATTTTTTTTTGAATACTCTAAGTAAGGTACTTATACATTGAGTATTTTAAAAAGTTAGGAGTTAACAATAAAACTTTTTAAAAATATAGGGGAATAATAGAAATTTTTAAAATTTGAAAGGGGGGGTCGCATGGCCCTATTAGGCTTCCTTATAGTTCCGTCTCTGCTTCTCACGTACATCACACGAGAAAATTCTATACATTTATATACAAAATATCATACATTGTCAAAAAATATACACATATTTTTCATTTGTGTTTGAGAGTATATAATATTTTGTATGTGAATGTACAACATTTTCTCATATGATGTATTCGAGAATGCAATGCAACGCCTCGTGGTACCTTGCAAGCAATGAAAAATTTCTCTGTCCAAAGTATGTATGTATGTATGTAATCATCATTTTGACGTATGATGCTTACGTAGATATTAATTTTTCAGTACTGACTTTGGGGTTGCCTTTCCACAAGAAATACAGGTGAAGCAAATAGGATTGTTAGGTAAGGAATTAGTCCTCTACCTTTTGATCAACTTTTTTAGTGATAGATCACAAATTTATGGCAGACAATATATCAAAAAAAAAAAGAAAAAAATATACGCGAAGAGTTGAAAATTCTTAAGATTCTTTTTTGCTGTTAATTGTGTCTAGTATATATATTAGCAAGAGATTCACTTTGAGTAGAATAACCAATAGTCTAATTCCAAGATTATTATTTGGTGAATGACGAGCTTAGATTCAGATCAGGCTTAGATTCAATTTATGTGTTAAGTCTAAATCATCAAAAGGTAGGCCAAGTTTAACTCATAGTCTCAGTCCAATCCAAACCTGAAGAATTCAGGAAAAATCAATGGAAGTGGAAAAGTAATCATCGGAATAATTATTATTTCAAAATAGTGTCCATCTCTAATTGTAACTCTCATCTCCAGTAAATTAGTAGCTTGACCATCCTGTCACCACCTCAACTAGGGTTATGTGCCTATAAATTATAAACTCTCCTCCCTCCCACACATGGGAACAGAGGACACATACCTTACCTTGAGTATACTCTTGCTCTCTCTCTCTTTCCAACTACCTTATACTCTTTCATTAATAGAGTTTTTTGGCCACTGTTGCCGCCTTTAGTGGTTAGGTCACTTAGACCCAACCACCCAATCTTTATCTCTTACTATTAATTATTTCATTAATTGTTTTACATCACACTCAATTGTTTGATTGCGAAAAAGTTCACTTTTGTACATCATCAGTGAAAGTGTTGATTTTAAGTTATATCCTTTTGAGATCGAACATACACAATACGTATCGTGTTCGTGTTTGATAGTAAATTATTTAATTTTGAAAGAGTTCATGTATTTTTTGTTAAGTAAAAACACTTCATGTAGTATTCAATTATAAGGTGAAATTGAGTCAAAACAAATTCATGCATTTATTCTCACAGTCCCTATTAAATAAGTTATTCGTGTCTAAAGTTAATCGGATCTAATATTACGTTAACTAATCTTGTTATTGTTGAACTTGTAACGGGTTCTTCACGCATCCAAACAAACCCTTCCATGAACATGGATTGAATGATGAAGTTTGGGCCATTATAACAGGCTCAATTAAAGTGAAGACCTACTAAATTTTCAGTTAAATTGATCCAAGAAAAGGGAGATGATGGCCCAATTTGAATAAAGGTATAATTAGGGATAGAAGTGGACCAAAAAAAAATAGGTAATCGTCCAAACCCGTTCCGTTTGAATCGGGGATGGACTATATATATTAGACGATAGACATATACGGGGATATCCATATAAACCCGTGTGACGATGAAGACGGAGATGAATTTATCCTTATCCCCGCCCCATCTCATCCCCGTTAGCGGTTAACATATATATATATGTGTGTGTGTGTGTGTGTGTGTGTGTGTGTGTGTGTGTGTGTGAGTTCAAGGAGAATCACAAGATGTAGAATAATTTATAAACAAATTATAGAAATTATAATATAAAATAAAACTAAAATGCTTACAATACTAGCACTAAGTGGGCTAGTAGTGAAAGGGAATAAGAGAGAAACTCTTCATTTGCATCATTATGAGAGCTCTCAAAATACAGGGTTATAGTGGAGGTAGGAGTATTTTGTTGGGCATGTAATAACAAAATTATTCTACATCTTGTGATTCTCCTTGAACTCACATGAATTCCGCACTCAGTGCTAGTATCGTAAGTATCTTAGTTTTATTTTATATTGTAATTTTGTTTAAATTTATTTATAAATTATTCTACAACTTGTGATTCTCCTTGAACTCACATGAATTCTGTACTTTGTTATATTTTGGTATCAGAGCCATTTAACGGCCTGGATAGTTATCCATGCAGTTATATTTGAGTCATCTTACTTGTTCTAAATTTTCATAGCTTTAATTAGTAAATCAGTTTTAATTTTGATTCACCCTGATCACCCAACCTTTGTCTCCCGAGAGAGAATAGTCGATCATTCCCGTTTTGTAAGTCCTTGTGTAGGCAGTTTTAGGAAAAACAGACATGTTCTAAGGGAATATGTATGTTAGGGGGTATGTATCATGATATCAAATATTAAAATTAATTTACAAAATTGAAAAAGTTTAAATTTAGTAATGAATAGATTATTCAGATCTAACTCTAGGGCTAGCTTATCTAGATCTTCATTAAGCACTATACCTAATATAGTAAATG